CGGAGGAGCCGCCGCAAAGATGGAGGAGCCGTCGAGGAGGCGCTGCTGCTGCTGCCGCCGCCGCTGCTGCCGCCGCCGCCCGCGAAGCCGGAGCTCGAGCCGCAGGGGGTGAGCGCACCACACCCGCCCGGAACCCTTGTCCCCCGGCCCCGGGATGCCCGGCGGAGCCCCCTCCTCCTGCCTTCGCTGCTCGCGGGCTCCTCGCGCGCGCGTCGCTCTCCGCGCCCCCCTTCCTTCCTCCTGGCGCCGGGGTGCCAGCAGGCGCCCCCCGGGAGCATCGCCAGCCTAGGAGCTTGGCCTTGGGCTTGCTGAGCGCGCCCCTCCCCAACCCTCCCATGCAGGGGTGCCTTCTCTGCAGGTAAGGGAGGGGCCGCCTTCCCGTGCCCGGCGCCCCCAAATGGCCTGGGGACTGGTCGGGGATGTCTGACTTGTCCCCTTCCCGGCGGCATATGTGGTGATGCAGAATGATTTGAGCCCTGCACCCAAATTCCTTGCAGACCCCTCTTCTCTGAACACTCCTTTCTTGGTACTCTGAGGTCAGAGGAGCTGCCCACCCACAGCGCTTCTCCCCGTCTCCTAGAACGCCTCCTTGATTTTATGTCCTTGACTTCCCGTGCATGAGGAGGGGGACTGCGGGGGGGGGGGGCACCTTACTTCTCTCTTCCATTATTCTCACCCTCTCCCCGTGAGGCGTTACTGCGTTTGTTCCCACCCTCTTCTGTCTGACACCCTGGAGCTAGGGAGAGAGCTAGTAGATGAATTGGAGCTCCCCCCTTCTTGTCTCGGGTGGATGCCCCCCATTTTTCATACTGAGTCTGTATCTCTGGAGGGAGGGGCTCTGTCAGAGCCTTGTTAACTTGGGGGAGTCTGCTTTTTTTACCCTCCCCTTCCCTGGGGCCCGGGGGAAGATGAGAACCGGCTGGGTGATAAGTGATTAATCTGGGGGTCTGGGGGATAGTGAAGAGGGAAGGTGGGGATGCTTCATTTGGAGGAGAAGGGGACCACTTGATATCTCTGCCTTTGGCTTTCTAAGATGAGTCTTGTCCCTAGAGAGGAAGGGTAGCAGCTGCAGTTGCTTTGGGGGGGTGATGTGAAAGGGATCCACTACTCTGACAGTGACCACTGTGTTCCTGGGACCTGGAGTTAGCTTTGGAGCTTCGAGATGATGGTAGTGGTGATAGTAATTGGGTTCAGGGTCCAACTGGGAGGGGAAGGTGGAGCCAGAGCATAGAAACAAAAGGAGGCAGGGGATGGGAGATTCAGGAGTCTTGGCCAGAAGGACCCCTGGCTAGTTTGCCTTGCAGGATAGCATCCTGGGATGGGTCCTACCCTGAGTGTCCTTTTAGGTTCCAGACAGTGCAGTCAGGGAGGATACTGAGTCTCCCAAGTCCCAGGCACCAGGATCCCTGAGCCTATGCTAGCTGTTGAGATACTGGGCTGGGCTGGGCTGGGCTGGGCTAGGGATGTGAGTAAGCCATGTTGGGGGCTGCTTCCTTCTTCATTCCAATCTTCCCTCCTTTTCCCTCCCTATACGCAAAGCTTGGGCAGATCTTGTTTTGCCTCCTTCCCCTTTTCTTGAACCCTCTCTGCCCTCTTTCCACTTGGAGTTGCATCTGGGTTAAATGTTGATGAGGTAGGTTGGGGATCTCCGAGTTAGAGGAACAGGCCCCCCAGCATCTCCACTCTGTGCTGGAGTGTGTGCACACGAGGGGCCAGAGATGCAAGTCCCAGCTGCAGGTTACCTGGGGGCAAGGATGGAAGAGATGTTCACTCAGGCTGTCTTCCCCTCTTCTCCAGTATATACCTCTACTTTGGCTGGATCATGTCATCTGGAGGGGGCAACCATGTCACATGCCCCACCCACCCCAAGTAGCTGTAGAGACAAAGGTTTGCCTTCTCTTTCCTAGGGGTGGCATCTTAGCTGTGTGGGGCCTGGGAAAGTAGGGGGTCATTTGTGTTTCTTCATGGTGGTGGCAGGGAGGGGATCAGCCATAGAAGCTGGGGGTAGTGCAGCCGGCGCTGAAGTACCAGCTGCTCTTTAATAATTAATTCTTCCTACTCACATCCCTTTGAGGAGGGCTGTCTGGAACACCGCATCAGGCTCAGCCAGCCTGCTAGAGGACTCACTCCTGTTGGCTGGGTGGGGGGGGGAGGGAGAGACAGCGAGGGGGGGCGGTTCTTGGCATTTTTGGAGCAATGTCGCTTGCTCATGAATGAAAACCTGATGCAGCCCGTGAGGGGGCCTATTGTAGCCGACTTTGGCTAATTAAACTTTCTCTGCCTTTCTTCTCCCCCACCCCACCTCACCCCAGTCCCGGCCCCAGCCCTTTCTTGAATGGGAACCCTGTCTAGTAGTGCTGGAGAGGGGGTATCATTCTGTTTGAGGTTTTAGGGCAAACAGACCCCTTCTTCTGCCCTCTGCCTCCGCCTCCTCCCTTCCTCCCCTCCCCCCCCCCTTTTTTTTCTAGAAATAGCAGCCTCCTCCATCTGGCTTGTGCAGATGCCTGGAGCTGCGTCTGAGCAGACAAACAGAAATGGGCCGATTGCAAAAATGAATTTGTCAGCCTGGTGCCTTTTTTCCTCCCCTGTTGCCTTCCCCCTTTCCCTAGTTGGGGGCCTGGACATCCAAGTCAGCACCCTTCATGGCTCTGATCCTCCTGGACTTCTCTTGGCTCAGCTTGGGGGATCCACAAGGCAGTGAACACTGTCTTAGGCTGGAGAAAGTGGCCTGCTGTGGCCAGTCAGGAGAGGTGAAGAGGAGAAGCCCTGTGTGCCTTCGGATCGAATGTCTGGACTTGTAGCTTTTTGATGCAATTGTTGGGGCAAGTAAAGCCCATCCTGGACTCACAAGCTTGGTTCAGACTGCTTGGCAATGCCACCTATGACCTGGGAGCTCCTGACTTGGACCTGCTTCTGTCAGCACCAGACCTGGTGTGTTGGGAGTGGGTGGCATGGTGGTGCTAGAATCCAGGTTCCGGAGAAGCCCTCCAAGGCACACCTGATGCCCCAGGAATTCAGAGGGAGTTGCTTGAGGGACAAGATCCCTGCAGGGCAACATCATGAACTTGTGGCCTTTGGGACATTGCATTGCTTCACATCTCCCTCACTTGCCCTCCTCCTCCCACCTTCTGCCAGAGTTTTTATTGCTCACAAGTGAGGTGGGGATGGATTTCTTTCCTAGGGTTTTTGTCCTACCTCCTTCAGCTTATCCGTGAGCTTACAGGGTGAGAGGCAGCTGATTTCCTGCAGACTTCCCTGCCCTGCTGTCCTGGCTGGAGGTGGAAGGTGGGTTTGGGTCCTGGAGTGGGGTAGAAGTCTATCTGGAAAAAAGAGTTGGCTACTGCGGTAAGGGGAGCAGAGCCAGGGGATCTGCCTACTTAGATCATCGTGGAAGCCAGGCTGCTCATTGGTTTGGCATCCAAGGGATGGATCCTCTGGAAGCCACACAGCTGACTGTCCATTGAGACCCTCATGTAACAATAGTGAGTTCTCTGTAGAGGCAGAAACAAACAGCTCAGGTTTTGAACGTCAGGCTGCCCTCTTTCCCCTTTGTGCCTTGCCCCAGACAAGAATCTATGCCTGTCCTGATCAGGCCCTGAATGGGGTTTTGTTCCCAGGGAGCCCTGGCCAGTGAGTAAAAAACTCACTAGACTTGAATGGAGGTCAGCAGATACTCTTTGCAGATGGACAGGGGCCCAGGTTGCTTCTGAGCTCCATGGGGTGGGGAGAAACAGTGTAACTGGGTCCTGATCCCACTGTGTGTTCAGGGAGCTGCTCCCTTTCTCTTCTCCCTGGTAGGTGAGGATCAGCGCCTTTGTAGGTGAGGATGATGGGACCTTGGGGCTTAGCTTAATTTTTGTTCCATTGGGGTCGCTTCTCTGGAGTGCTCTGATAAGGAGGTACCCCTCACTAAGGAGATGGGCTGAGCCATTCAGGCTGCTGGCAATCGTGGGAATTTCTGAACTTGTATTCCCCAGCCCACGGGAAAGGGTGTGAGCGGGACTGGGCGCCAGCCTTGGTGTGGGCACTGGCTGAGCTGCCAACCCACGCGGGCCCTGCCAGGGCATCAACAGCCCCACCTTCTGCATTCCTGAGTTTGGTCCCAGCCCTGTGCAGTCTCCTTTGTCCTTAGCCCACACAGGTGCCTGTCAGGAGCCATCTAGCCCCTTCGATCTTGACCCTGAATCTGAAAGCACCTTTCTGCAGCCACAGAGTCCAGCCTCTGTGTGTGGGCGAGAGCAGGGGCAGCAGGCCCAGGACCTTCAGGTCTTTTCTATGTGCCCATGTATATGTGTGTGTGTGTTCCTGTGTTCCTGTCACGGATGGCTTCTGGGCTCCAAATGGACCCCACCCCTGGGAATCCTTGATGAGAATGCCAGGCTTACTGAGAACTAATCCTTCCAGGAGGTGGGGCTGTCCTGGAGGCAGAGCTGATTGCCGGTTGGAGGCTTGGAGAGCACAGTTAGGGCTTAAACTTCACTAGCTCTCAGCCTCCTCTCATTGCTTCCTGCTACTCACTTTCATTGGGTATTGGAGGACCTGCCTTCGTTTGGAAGCAAATGAATGAGATCATGTCTGGGTGGATCATGGACTGTTTAGGGATGGGCCTAGGTGGGTGCATACCTAGCGTGTGAGGCTTGAGGACAAACTGTGGGGCTGGTGGCGGGGAGAGCTGGAGGGGTGGGGACAGCTTGGGAAACCCATGGTCCTGTAGTACATATTCCATTACTATACTGTCCTTAGCTATCTTTGGGCTCTTTGGTGCCTTTGTGCAAACTGGCAACAAGAATCTCTTGTGTTCTGGTGGACTTAGTGTCAGGCCATGGTTAGGCAGGCAGGGCATTGGGGTATAACTTATGAAACATATGTAAAGCTCTGAGTTTGGGTCCTGAACCCCTTAAGCTGGGGGTGCTGGGTCTGGGAATGGATGTCTCTGGCTTTCCCAATTCCTGGAAACACACTGTCTTGTCCAGACCCATTGTTGAGTGGGGGAAGACCAAGACAGAAGCACATCTATATTTCCAGAGTTGAGTGGTACATGGTTCAGATAATAGGGAGGCAATGACTCTCCCCCTGGGAGTCCCCAGCTTAGGCTCTCCCTTAACTTCTGCCAAGAACCCCAGGTCAGCTCTGCATTTCCCTACTTCCGTGGAGGGAAGCCAAGAAGCTCCTGCGTTTCTTTGGTACATACTTAGTCTCACATCAGGTACCCCTGGTAGTCTGTAACGTCTTCCCACCTGGCAGAGGAAACTGACATGCCTGCAAAGGATTTTGTTTAGCTGTGACCACCGTAGCCATTTCCTGTCCCTTGGGCATCAGGAACCTTATCAATTAGGAAGAGAGGATACCAGCATCTGGTCAAGTTCTGCTCCGTCCCTCTGTGCCCCCAGGAAGGTGTAAGCTGATCACTCCAAGGTCTCCTTTGATTCCCAGATTCCTGAGTTGGGGGCCTCTAACCCTGCTCCATCTCTCCCCAGGGATGCCGTTCTGAGTGCCTGACTGCCTCACCCCGAAGGATGGCCTTGGATGGGCATTAGAGGCACGGTGGCCCCGGGCTCCTGTCCCGTCCATCTGTCTGTTATCGTCTGTCTCTCTTGACATCACCGCAGCTCCATCCCCTCCCGTCCCAGCCCCCAACGCCAGCTTCCTGCGGGCCCAGAGCCGGCATGAACTCTCCTAACAAGTCGGGTAAGAGCTGGGAGGTTGGAGAAGAGCCCCCTGGGGCCACTTTGGATGCAGTGGGCTGTGTGGGTTTCCCGCCCAGACCAGCCGACTGCTGGTGTCTCAGCTGTCCGGGAAGTAGGGGGTCAGGAGTAGAGGAGCATTGAAAGGAAAGGACAGAGGTAGTTGTGGGAATTGATGGCCCTGGGAGGGCATCTGTCCACCTCTGCCCTGAGCCTGCCTTCAGTATGGGGGCCTTTGGTCCCTGTTCTGCCTTGCCTTATTGGCCAGGGTAGGTAGGCCTGTAGGGGGTACATACCCCAGAATTTCTCTGGGTGGCCTGAGGTGGTGTTGGAAGCATTTCCCCAGGATAGCTGAATGCCCTGCTTCCTTTTTGTGGTGGCAGCTTCTTTCCTTCTGTAGTTCATATTTTTTTCTTGGTGGAGGTTTGCTGGGCCTGGGCCTTAACCTCTGTGTTTGGGTGTGTGGCTTGGGGTGGGAGTGGGGGAACATGTTTATAGACGAGTCTTAACTCTGCAGAGTCCAGGTAGATTAGATCTCATCCTCTTGGACCCTGGACATGGTAGATTCCTAATTTGGGGTCTTTTCCTCTGATATTTCACATTCTCTTCTGCTCCTAGGACCCTGCCCAGTGCTGCCAGAAATAGTGTATGGGTGGGACTCCAGGCAGCTTTATGTTGGGGTGGGTCTGGATGTGTGCCCATGAGGATGTGTCCAAGTGGCCTGACTTGGACCCTCAGGAGTTTCCCAGGAGGGTCATGGGTCAGTGTGGTCAGAGTAATGACTGCCTTCTCTCTTTAACTGTCTCCTGCACAGTCGACAAGCTCAGAGCCCATGTTGCTCAACTTTAACCCTCCATGGCCCGTCCTGTCCCCACATCTTTTTCTGTAGGGTGGATGGGTACTTTTCCTTCTTTAAGAGACAGGGAAATTGGAGCCTGGGATGCAAGCTCATCTGTAGGGTGGTCCAGAAGCAGCAGCAGGGAGGGAGAAGTCTGGGTCACCCCCACGTTGATCCCCACCATCCCTCCTGTAGGTTTGTGGTTACCCCTCACGTCCTCCTGCCTCTGCCCTTTCCTTCATTCAACCTGTAGGGGCTGTGCCAGGTGGGCTCTTGAGCTCCCTGGCTTCCTGCCTCCTCCTCTAGGCTGGGTTGACAAGGGGACAGCAGAGGTCTGGTGGGTATTCGTCATTTCCTCTCCTGCCTCACCTGGACATTGCATCAGCAGGTCATTTGTGTCTGGCAGTAGTGCCAGCTGCTCCATTCCTCTGAGCTATGACCCTAACCCTTTTGGGAGCCATCTCAATTTCCCGCTTCACATGGAGGTCAAGGTCTAACCCTTGGCCTACGGCACAGAGGCTGCTCAGAGGTATCTAGTAATGGCTTTTGAAGGATATTTCCTAGCTATAGGACTTTACTCTCTGGCAATACAAGGTTGAATAATCTATCCAGCACAGATGAGCTTATAGGGTCGCCTTTCCAGATGCCGGTGGTCCAGGTTCCCTTTGCAGTCACTTCTGCCAGAGCTGGTAGGAGCGTGGGGTAGCTGGAGGTATCTTACCAGCTTGGGCCCTGGCCCGGATGGGCCTTCTGAGTGAGGCCTGTGGCATTGGCCTTGCCTCCTGGATGGCTTTCCAGCTCCCCCCAGTAGGGGGAGATGCTGTCTTCTGTGTGTCTGGGAGAGAAGGAGGGAGCCCCAGATTGGGAACCTCATTTCAAGACTGTTGAGAGGCTTCACAACTGGGGTCACTGCTTGGGGGTGTTCTCCTGAGGTCCTTTCCAGTGGTTCTGGGATCAGCTCCGAGGGTGACAGCCAGCCTCCATGCAGCCCTTCTTTGAGGGGTTCACCATCTTCCATTCCCACAATTCTGGCTAGCATCTGGGCCCGGGCTATGGGTGCCCAGCACCTGGCAAAAGCCTGAAAATCATGTGCCTTGGGTACAGTGAAACCACAAATTGTAGCCAGAGCACACAGGTGTTCTTCCCTAGGGACACCTTGGAGAGAGCCCCAAGAAGGAAAGGTTAGGGCCATGGGGCAGGGGACAGAACTGGGAATAATGAGAATGACTAGTCCCCAAAGAAGGGGTGCCCCAGCCCCTGAGCACCTATCATTTTCCAATCTCTCCTCTTTCCCTAGAGCACCGAGTAGCAGGGCTGGGTAAGGGCAGGGAGTTTTCTGCTGTTCCTCCAGTTCTTCTCAGTGTCTCTCAGTTCTCTAGGAACTTTTTGGTTTGGCAAATCCTCACTGAGTATCACCAGTAAGTTTAGCCTGTGGGGGAACAAGAGATGATATGAGATGATCTATCCCTGCCCTCACAGCGAGCAAGTTAGTAAGAGAGTTTCTAGTGAAGGGTGGCAGATGGACACTGAGTTTCTGGGGCCCACCACCCCCAGGAGTGGGAACTTATCCACTTACCTCTGGACTGGGCTGCATGCCAGCATGTGACCTTATCTACCTACCTCTGGCAGTCCTGGGAGTCTGGGCAAAGGCCATTGGTGGGACTGCCTGCTTTCCTGGGGAGGCCATTCCCTGGCCTCTGTCTTCCTTCTGGCAGGGCAGTAGGGAACAAGAAGTGAGGCTTCCTTTTATTTTGCTAGAACTGACTCTGTCCGCATGTTTTCCTCAGTGGGGTTGAAAGACTGACAGAATCTGTCACAGCCAAGGCTCAGCCCAGCCAGGTTGGAAGAGTTGCTCTGGACCTAGGACCTGGACTCTTCTGTGCCATTGCTCAGAGGAGAGGGCAAGAGTGCGGCCTGCTATGGAAGCCAGCTTGGATGGCGGCTGGGCCTGGAGGAGATGGCCAGGTTCCTTATCCCCAGCGTGGGAGGGAGACAGGCTTCATGACAACACCTGTCTGCCCAGCAACTCCCAGAACCCTCCACACTTTCTCTCCTTCCCTTTCCCAGGAGGGGGAGGCAGCTACCCCCTCCTTTCTGGTTGACCAGAGAAACTGGGGCATGGGTGTGAGGTAGAGCCAGGAACCATGGCGTCCTGTCTCCCAGCCCCAGGCTCTGCCTCTGAACCCCTGGAAGGGAGGTAGCCAGCCCTGAGGAAGAGAAAGTGGGTCAGTGCTGGTGTAGGGTAGGGGTCTGGGAAGGGGACTCCTGGCCTCTGTTCTCCCTGCCCTGGCACAGACTGTGCTCACTACAGATTGGGATCTGTTCACCCTTCCTCTGCTCTGCTCTATCATTCCAGAGGGATTGAAGGCTTAGGATAGGATGACCAGAGGAGGCCGTGTTAACTGTGAGGGGAAGTGGAAGATGCCAAAGAAGATGTCCACATTTTTCCTGGAGTTGGTTTCACATGAGAGGGCTCAGCTAGCATATAATGTGGACCTGGCACATGGCAACTCCCAGGTCATGCTGACAGGTTTCCACATGACTGGTTCAAAGGACAGGGAAGAACTAGAAGACAGGCAGGCTCGATGTCTCCAGGGTCCCAGGGCCACTGGCACCTCACAGTTTCAGCGTAGGTCTCCTGAGCCAACCTTTGGCCTTTTTTTTTTTTTTTTTTTTGAGATAGGGTCTCATTAACTTGCTTAGGGCCTCACTGAGTTGTGGAGGCTGGCCTTGAACTTGCAATCCTCCTGCCTTAGCCTCTTGAGCTGCTGAGATTATAGGCATGTGCCACTATGCCAACAACCCTGGGCTTGTTGACTGTGCACAAAGTAAGACTTCTCTTTCTTTCAGTCAGGTCTCCCTGCCAACCTTTTGGGCCCATAAAATGGTAGCCTGTAAGAGCTAGGGGAGCCAGCATTGGCCTTTTCCCTCTCTGCAGCTTCAGAGTATTAGGAGACCAGAATGCAACCTCAGAGGGAGGGGATGGAGTCACCGCTGTCTGGGGAGAATGGTGCTGGCTCTGGATAGGGCTCTTGGACCCCATCCTCAGTGTGTGCTCCATAAGGTTTGTGGGACAGTATGTGGGAGCATTGGATGGACAGGGATAGAGAAGAGAAATGAACCACAGATGGGTGGTATAGCAAGAAAAATTGAAGTTAGACATTAAGAAGACCTTATTGCACTACCTGAATCTCAGAAGAAAAAAGACACTTGTCTTCCTTCCCCAGACCTCCCTTCTTATCCCCTGGAGGATTCTGGGAATTGCATTGAAGATTGTCTGGCTGAGTCTGACACTTCGTTTCCTACTTCTTGGAAGCTATATGTTACTGGGAGCTGGCGGCCACTGAGTGCCCATGTCCTGGTTGTCCTATCTTCCCTATTCAGGAGTCCTCTTTTCTTAGGCGTCTGACTCCCCAGGGTTCTGGGAGCCCTGCTTTTGAATTGTTATAGCTGGTAACTTCCTCTTCTCCAGAGCAGGGCTCTCCTGCCACACTCTCCTGTGCCTGAGGCAGGCAGAGAAAGCCAGGACAGGGCTAGCCAGCCCTTCCGGTTGCTCCTAGCGTGGGTGGGTGGAGTCCTGGGCTGGGAGGGGCTATTGCCCTTGGCTTTCTGGGCTCCCTTATGTCTGCCACCCATCACCCCACTCATGGGGACCTTGCCCATCCTTCTATTCCTCTTAAAAGGGTCTGGTTGGCCAGGATGAAGATGGGGAAGGGGGTGGTGAAGTTCCTACCCTGAGATGTCCACCAGTGCCTGCTCCAGGTTGGGCCTTACTCCATTACCTTTTCCAGCTGGGCAGCTGTGACTCCAGACCCCTGTTTGGTTCCTGGTCCACCACTGGGCACTCCTCAGAACATGTCATGAACATCTCACCTTTCTAGGGCCAGGGAAAGTCTCCTCTGCCACCTCCCCTATCGGTGTGTTCTCTCACCTGAGGGAGGAGGCCCTCTGCCATCCTTGACTGACAGAAGCTGGCTGGAAAGCTGGTCTCCAGGAGTCACAGCCACCATGTCCTTGGTTGGCCAGCCTCTCTCAGGCTCCCTACAGGAGGGTGAGGTCATCCAGTCCAGAGAGAGGACAGGTGTCCCTGGCTCTGTGCCTGGAGTTGGGGGGTGGGTGGTGAGGCAAGGAGGGACCAGGAGGGGCCTCCAAAATAGCAACTGTGACATCAGGAAGGGGGAGGGGGATAAAAACCCAGGAATAACCAGGCTATTAAAAGGCTTCAGTGAGGTCAGGGGGCCAAGTGGGATCTCTGTACTAGTGGTAGGCACAACCTAGGGAGAAAGAGCAGGCCAGAGGTGGGGAAGGCAGGTGCACTGGCCCCATAACCCAGCGAGGCTCAAGGAGCGAGACCTCTATCAGGCCCGGATGCTGGCAGCTAATGACTCTTCCTGGAAGGGCTCCAACCTCAACTCTGTTCCTGCTTGGGTGCTGGGGGTGATGGTACTTATTGATGGAAACCCTGGGGCAACTTTGTGCCCTCGATCACGCTAAGGGCAGTGGGATATGGTGGTTAGAGCTGGGACTTGAGCCTAAGACCTCTCAGCCCTACCATGTGAGCATCTGTATGACCAAGGGCAAGTGACTTTATTCACTCTGTGCCTCAGTTTCCCCATCTGCACCCCTCTCCTGAGGTCATCATGCAGAGTCAATGAGGTGATGTGTGTTATGCTCTTAGCAATCCACCTGGCACAGCCCCAGGGAAGAGCTGCCTATGCCGAGAATAGGCAGGTGCTACCCGGTCCCCTGCCTGGGCTGGGCAAGGCTTGCAGGCAGGAACAGCATCCCTGCCTCCTGTAAAGAAGCTGAGCAGCCTTCGGAGGTGTGGGCTCTAGGATGGGTGGGAGGGAACTGCCCCTTAATTGCTGCTTAGGGACCTCCCTGCTGGTAAGGGGGTGGAGAAGGTACCTCCCAGCTCTGCAGGAGGGCAGAAGTGAAACCGACCCCAGGGGGTTGTTAGGACTCCAGGGAAGGTGCAAGTTTAAGCCAGGTGGCCATGTCTGTCACCCTTTTCCCAACCCATTACCTGCTCTAGATAGCAAAGGAGAAGACGGAGGATTGAACCTGGCTTCTTGGTCTTTCCTTTGCTTGCCAATAGCAGCAAAGCGGCCAGCGTAGCTCCCAGACGCAGGGATACCCCGGGCTGCCCCCTTCCCCAGCCCAGCCTCTGGCCACCGTGCTCTGTGGCCTTGGCCCTGAGTGCAGGCCCTCTCCTGTCCCCCTCCCCCTTGCCTGGCGCTTCCTCCTGGGGTGGAACGCGCCTCCCCCCCTGGGGCCTCCGCCAGGCCTGGGCTCCTGGCAGCCGGCCAGCGGCTCCCTGAGCATGCTCCACCTATTTATAGACAGGGCCCTCCCCCAACTGCTATTTCAGTCTCCTGCCAGCTGCCGGCGGCTCATTCGGGAAGGAGGAGCAGGGAGCCGGGCCCAGAGCTGTCACCCGGGGCTGGGAGGGAACACAGAGAGCCCGCCTGCCTGCTGAGCTACCCTTCCTGTACCCCGAGCACTCAGCCATACCCGACTCCTGGGAAGTGAGGACGGACCAGTGGTCCAGGCTCCCGTAAAGAGAGCAGGCTTGCAGCTCCCAGGCCTCCAGGCTCGGGCAGCCAACTGGAGCGCCCAGGCCGGATGAGGTGCCTCCCTGCCTTAGGGGGCCCAGTGGCAGTGGCCTGAGGGAGTCCCTGAACAGCCAGTCCATTGACTGCCTTCCCCTGGTTGGCTCCCGCCTCAGGCGGCCCCTCCTGGGCATGCTGCTGGTGCCCAAGGCGCAGGGGCTGGTGGAGATGCTGCAGACCATCTATGAGACAGAGTCCTGTTTCTCAGCAGATGGCATGTCAGGCCGGGAACCATCCTTGGAAATCCTGCCGCGGACTCCTCTGCACAGCATACCTGTCGCAGGTAAGTGCCTCTGTGTCCCCACCTGCCCTCTGGTGTTGGGCATCCTTGGGTCTGGGCTGAGTATCTTCCTCCAAGTCCTGCCTGGATCCTCCTACTTTGGTCTTTCTTGAGAGCTCTGCGGAGCATCCGTGAGATTGGGGAAGCTGTGCTCCCACGAATGACCTCCCTGCCAATGCCCCTACCCTCTTTGCCCAGAGCTGTACTTCGAGTGTGCCTCCTACCTGCACTCTGCTGCATCCCTCCTGTGCCTTTTGCCTCTGGCAGGGTTCATCTCAGCTGCTGGGGGCTGGGGCTTGCTAGAAGATCCTGGCCTAGTTGGCACCATGGTCAGAGGGGAAGAAGTGGGTCAGTGACCTGTCTCTAGGCTGCCTGATCCCCATGTTTGGGCACATCTGTGGTGTCCACAAGCATGAAAGTAATCCAACTCCTTTGGTTTGGTTTTTGGGTTGGAAATTTAGGTATAGAGACTTTGGCAAATCCCCAAACAAAAGTCTCCTTAGAACTGGACACTGGCATAGATTAGGAAGAGACTGACAACTAGGATGTTGGAATGGATGCTTGCTGCCTTAGCTTTTAGCTCCCCCATATCTCTCCTGTCCCAGGTCTTGGTTTATTCCCACCAACTGAGAATAGAGAGGTGGGTCAGGTGGGCTTGAGGACCCTGGACTCTATCCTCTTCTCAGTAGGAACTTTTTTGGCCCTTGGCTGGGGGTGGGGCTCCCCAGAGCTGTGCCACTCCTTCCCTCACTCCCAGGAACCTGTTGGCAGCATCAGGCTCTTCTGGCACAGCCTTCCCACCAGGCCGGCACCACAAGATGCTTCCTCCCGGGAGGGGC